CATATATAAATATAAAACATTCATTAGAGCTCCATAAACCAACGTCTTTACCACAAATTATATCAAGCGTGTCTACTTCTTCAGAGAACATTTTAGGTGGAGGAAAGTTTGGTATTTGTAAGACAGGTTTTAGACTGGGGTTTCAGGTTTGGACACCGCCAAAAACAGAGGAGTGACGCTCAAGTACAAGCTGATCCAAACAGTACAGTTCCTTGGTTCCATAAAATAAACCGAGAAAAAAAAAATATAATTCGTGGGCTTCGGGACAAACTGCCTGCGTGTCGGCAAAAACTTACCCAAACGTGTTAACAGCAAGTTAAGCCACTCATCATCGGTACACAACAACACTTAAAGAGGAGCTCGGGGATCACCTGAAGAATATCCACCCCAGCTTATTTTACCTTCACACTATTGGGGGGGTTAGGTTAGGTTAACGTTAGGATAGTTAATATTCAGGTTTAACCCCAGGAGTGAACTTAATTAATAATCTGTTCAGGTAAGAAATCCGGTCACACCATCTGCTTCACCTCAACACCTGTCTTGTGTACTGACCTCACCTGCGGGTCAACAATACTTAGGAATGTTTGCCGCCGTGAGAAGTTTTGTGAGGGGGGGAAGAGGAAGGGGCGAGCAGGTGGACAATGAAGTGAGAGAGGAGGGAGGGATCAAGGGAGGGGGTTAGGAACAGGGAAGAGGAAGGGTGGAAAATGGGAGGGAGGAGAGAGAGAAGGAAGAACAGCACGTCAAAGGGAAGGGAATAAGAAGTAAAGGGAGGGAAGGAAGGGGAGGATATAGAAAAAGAGAAGAGTACAGCTTGTCATATCGAGGGGGAAGAGGAGACAAGAGAGAGGGGGGAGGAGGAGAGAAGACACTGCGGGTGCTCGTAGGGAGGAATACTAAAGCAGGAGGAGAGGAGAGAAGAGGAGAGAAGAGGAGTACCAGAGTGTGTGTGTTCACCAGGTGTAGCCACTTAAACTATTGACACGACCACCTCCTGTGACCACTGTGGCCCGACGAGGGAAAATGTACGTCACTTACGCAGATTAACAGGAACTAAAAATATACACTGATTGCAGATAAGAGCACAAAACACACACACACACACACACACACACAACACACAACACACACACAACACACACACAGATACAAACACAACAAAACACATATAAACATCTACATAAACACATACGAGAAGCATGTTTAGGGGGTGAGTATACTAGTAACTCTGTAGGCTATACTGTACACCTTTAAGTCTTCACAGAGCTAAATAATTTACACAGAAATGTAAATAATAAATATCAACAGTGTCTTTTCGATGTAGATTATAATTTTGACCTATCATAAGGCGCAGATCTGTCCTGTTTCACACTCCAGAATAAATCATGGGCTTGTAGATATCCCATGAAAATAAACTTGTTAATACTTCCTATTTTTTATACTTGTGGGACTCAGATCAACAAGTATTTGAGTCTTTTATATTCTTGAATATTGATGTCGTGTGTGTGTGTGTGTGTGTGTGTGTGTGTGTGTGTGTGTGTGTGTGTGTAATTTTGCACATTCAAGGTAATACATCCACTATTTCAAAACACTGAAAGATGCTAATCAGATATTTTACACACACACACACACACCATCTCTTATCAGGAGCTGTAAATTTATCAAGTAACAAGGACTTCAATTTCCCCTTAATGCCCCCAGGTAGAGCCCACATTAAATCATCCCCAGGTAGAGCCACACCCCTTAAATCATCCCCCACACCTTAAATCATCCCCCCAGGTAGAGCCACACCCTTAAATCATCCCCCAGGTAGAGCCACACCCTTAATCATCCCCCCCCACTGTGTATATCCTTGCAGGTGTTGGCTCCATGTCTTGTCTAGTTGAAGGTTAAGGGACACCCACTATCAACCTATATTTATAACACATTTCAGGGACATAGTTTCTTGCTGACTCTGGCATAGACGACAGTAAGTGTAAATGGCTCCTTATATGAATGGTAAATTAATGAAGACTTCACTACACGTTTATTATACCTATGTGTCACGTTATGTTGAATCGAAATCCACGCTACTCAAGTGTTGTGTTCACTTTAACAGCTGCAGTCTTGGCGTCCACCTTTGATTTCCCATACTAAGACAACTCGTCCTGTCAACACCCAACTGCCCAACAAATTCCATGAAAATCGGTAAAGTAGATTTTTAGAAGCTTGAATCAGACAGACAGACTGGCGAAGAGGCCAACTCGGGAACACAAAAACCGACTGCAATGACCTCTTCGACCCGTGGCCAGAAAGATCAATTAACCCTACATTTCTGAACAATTAGAGCGCCCATCTTGCATACTTTTGGGGATAGAATGAATATACTCAGATGTTACCAATACGAAAGAGAATGTTACGTTTGGTCTACGTTTTAGCAACAAAATTATCTAACATAGTCATTAGGTGTCCCATCAACTCTCTGTGAACACTGCCTCTGTCTTGATACATCTCCCTGGTTTATTTGTAACCGCTGCTCCATTCACTGACCCGGTGGTGGCGTCAACCAGAACCCACACCCTACCAGCACCACCATCATCAGACAGTTAAGTTACCCCAAACCAGCCGTGGGTAATTATCCTTCTACCCCAGCCACCTTCCTTCCCACCCCACACCGCCCAATTTAGGGACCCTGGTGGCTGGGGGGTCAACAGGTGCATTCCCAGGCCCCCACTCCCGCCACCTCATGTGCACCCGACCCCTTTTTACCCCCCAACCCCCTCTTCCTCCCACCCACCGATGGGAACAGTGACCGCGGACAGGGGGGAGGGAGGGAGGGGTGAGACCAGGGAGGAGGAGTAGGGGTGGGCAGACAACGGCCACCATATTTGTTCCACTCTATTCCATCTTTTTCTTCCTCTGCCACTCCTCCTCCTCTTGATGCATAAGCCAAGTCAATGACAGTAGTTGTGACTGGTAAAGTATCGCTGAACAAGTGGTAAAGTACGGGTGACAGCCAGGTGGTGAGTCTCCCGAGCGTCCCTCTCCCTAACACACGTCTACCTAACTTGTCCCGTAAGTCCAAGAGAAAAACTTGAGACGCCAACAGTCGACGTCAAATCCCCAACCCGCTGCTTGTGACAGTCAGATCCTTGCAACATAGAAAAACAACGTCTAAATACATACCTGGATTCACCTATAGATTACGAATTTCATCTTACTTTACCTGATTAAAACACCCTAATGCTAACTTAACCTAACCTCCCCCCCCCCCCATATAGCGTTAGGGTTTTTAAATGAGGTAAAATAAGCTAGGGTGCCTAATCTTCACGTGCTCTTCTATATGCTTCCATGAGTAGAGTTGCTAAACCTAACACTAACGTTAATCCAAAATACCTGAACTATCACCTTATACTAAAAGAACACTGCAAGAGATGACTGATTGTATATAGAAATCAGATGTAACAATTTAAATCATGTGATGCCTGAAAAGTTTCGTAAAGATAAAATAATAATTATAATAAATACATACCGTGTACATACATACATACATACATACATACATACATTAAATAAAATCAAAAGATTATAAAAACTAACTTAAATAATCTGGAAGAAGCCAGACTCCTCGATCAACTTATAAACGTTCATCCTTTTGTCCAGGAACCGAGGAGAGGCGGTAGTTAGTGACCATCCCTTGCCTGCTGGAGAGATGCCGGAAACCAAGCAATCACTCACTCACACACACAAACACACACAGGTAATGTTTGGGTGTTTTAATTATCAGGTAAAATAAACTGGGGGCCTAATCTTCACGTTAGATTTTTTTTTATTATAATTATAAGGAGTTGAATATATAATACAAGGGTAAACTGACATAAATAATGAGCGTTATGAGGCCTATCCAGCCCCTCCAAACACAAGATATCAAAGTAAAATGTTAAAATCAGTCCCAGCAGCTTCAGTGTGACCCTTGGGAGGCCAGACACTCGTACAGCAACGGCCACTAACCACATCACCTCTCACCCGCACCAGTCAACTACGCTTTATACACACCTCTGTTTATCTCTTAATTCCTACACTTACATCATATCCCTTACCCTTAACATCTGTATCTTGTAATCTATCAGCAACACGGGCGCCGTATGGGTGTGAGACGGGCGTGTGACGCGGTTCAAACAGGTGATCTATGGAATGCCGCGCCATATGTTAGGTGTGTGATCCCTCGGCAGCTGATTCCAAGGCTTCGTCGGCTCTTAGGTCACGGTATATATTGCCATGTGGTGGATAAGAGGGTAATATAGTGTGTGGAGATTGGTTATGTTTGGAAGTAGGTTAAATTCTTATCAAGATAAATAAAAAAGCAACAAAAAAGTGCTGGATGTAGTGCCAGTAATTATTGTCGGGATTCATTCAGTTCCCAGTACAGTTGCCAGTTATTATCGAGTGTAAAGTTAAAATATTATGCGCGTCATTATTAGTCTATGATCTATTAATGTGTACACAACATCGTTTAATACTATTTGTTTAAAAAATACGTATACAATATTTACAATGTTTATAGTTAAATATAAATGAATTACAAATAACGAAACTGAGCTCTTCACTGTGTTTGATACCACACAAATATTTCCCACGAGGATACCATAATCTACAACGAATTTACTCCCATTCTTCTCAACATTCATCTTATAACTTAAACAACTACTGTGATTTTTAAGTACAAGGATAAGGTAATTTAAATAATTATATCAGTAGCTTAACCTAATCCTCGAAAAAAACTCTGCATATACGGACAATGTGTAGTGCAAGTTTCCCGTACTAATACTGTAGTTTTCCCACGGTGATGGCAGTGTACCGCTCACAATGAACCCGGGTTCTGATTGGTCGCTGGGTCTGTGGGAGGAGCTTAGGTGTACGTCGGGGATCTTTCTCAGTTTTCATTGGTCGCCGGGGTAGAGATGTTGTTGCTACCAGTAGAGCATCAATGAAGTAAAGGTATATGAGGAAGATGTGAACATCTCGTACGCTAGTATATAACCACACACCATTGGGAGTGTACGTGTTACTCTCTCCCTTGTATAGTTTAGTGACTGTCGGTGCAAAGTGATTGACAACCACCGATAACCTCTGTAACAGTGATTGCACGCATTACCAACACCTGTACAGCAACTGCACTGTAGTACCAAGCTCTTGTGAGGTACATCTGTGCACATCTGGGTTGGTTGTGTTGTGTGGGCGGTAGTACGTGTGTGGTCTACACCTGGACACCTCAGCTGACCTCAGTTTGCTCTTCCTCCGCCATCATCTTCACCATGAAGTCTATCAACTGGGACAAGTCTGCTGTGCCCGTGAGGACATCCACCGTAGCGGTGAGGTCACCGAGGGGTCAACCGGAGGTAAGACAAGAGCGGCAGGAGATACGGGAGTACCTGGAGAAGCTGCGTCAGCTGGTGCCTGCGTGTCCCAAGGCAGGTAAAGTGTCGCGGCTGGCGGTGATTCAGCACGTGATCGACTACATTGTGGAGCTTCAGGACACCCTCGTCCACCACCCCGTCAACACCATCCTCGCTGCCAATCACCTCACCGCCCTACACGACAACCCCCTCCTCCCTCTACAACACCTGGACGACAACACCAACAAAACATCCTTTCCGGCAACCTCAACACCAACAGAAACAAGCATTAGTAAGAACAACAGTAATACTAATAAGAACAGCAGAACCAGCACCAACAAGAAAACCAGCAGCTGCAGACGACCGCTGGGCGTGCTGTCATCCCTTAAGAACCACAGAAATCAATGAGAAATTCCCCAAATAAACTATTTAACAACCACACTCTCCGAATCCCACGTACCAAAGAATTAGTTATAAAAAGTGGAGTGTTTGTTGAGTTATGGTAGGTGTGAAATAACAGATGGTGTTGACCAAATATGTCGCCTTGGCCTGCCACCTTGACTACCAAAACGGTGGAGGGGGACGCGGCCCTCCCTGCACCACGCCGTGCGCCCCTGACCTGTCGGACGGCTCACTGCCCATATTGGTAACAAGACCTGCCTGCCCGCACCCACCCGGAAGCCCCTCCTGCTTCTCACCACAATATTCCCAACTATGTAGTATCTGAAACAAGTATCACCGACCTAACTACCATCCCGCATCTAGGATAAACAAGCTGATGACTCACGCATGCGGCAAGAAGGTTGTGTTTTGTCGCCGGCGGGGACGTCACAAGATGCGGGTGGGAGGGGGCGCACCTGCTGGGACCCGCTCCTGTCGCCCCGGGCGCCAGCCACTCATGTCACACCTGCACCGCTACCTTGCCTCCCACACCTGGCCCACACACGTGTTTCCTCCCTACACACCTGCACCTCTACCTCGTCTCCCGCACCTGGCCCACACATGTGACTCCTCCCTACACATCTGCACCGCTACCTCGCCTCCCACACCTGGCCCACACACGTGTAATCCCTCTTTACACACCTGCAGTAGTACGTCGCCCGTCGTCACACAGGAACACGTGGTCTTCACACGTACCCGAGACTAATACATCTTTAGATCCTACACCTGTATCTCCACACCTGCATTACAACCTCCAAAAACAGCTGTAGAAACCCAGTATCACCAGCTGTATGCGGGCTTTACCTTGGAATGGTAATAATCATCTGTCTACGATACACCCCCGGTCATTATCGACAGCTGCAACCCTGTTATCCTCGGCAGCTGTAACAAGACGTTCACGGACAGCTGTAACAAGACAATCGTCGACGGCTGTACCTAGGCCCTGAGAGACGGGTGGGTGGAGGTGCAGGTGTCCGGGAGCAGCTGTCAAGGTCTGGTGGAAACAGCTGCGTTCACCGCCAGTCAACAAGGTGGGTACAGTTTCTTTCTCGCCTCTCAATGTCGCGCACATACAATGATTTTACCTCCTCCATCTCATTGTATATGGTGTTTATATTTCTCGCCCAAGACTATAAATATATACTGTATATACATTATTCTATACAGCACGCATTCTTGCAAATTCAGTTCCTTATACAGACCAAGTAAAAGAATTATTATTATTATTACTCACTGAAAGTAATGATTTTCCACAATATCTAGTACAGTAATCGTGACCATAAAAGCTTAACGTCTTCCATTGTTGACCTTGTTGTTTGTCTCTCTACAGCTGCCAACCAGGGTCCTGGTATCACCACTTGGGCTGTAAGGGTCACCATCTGGACCGCTTGGTTCACCATCTGGACCGCTTGGTTCACCATCTGGACCGCTTGATTCACCATCTGGACCGCTTGGTTCACCATCTGAGCTGCTTGGTTCACCTTCTGAGCTGTTTGGTTCACCATCTGGGATGCAGATTAACCCCTTGGATTGGCAGGACACTGAGAATGCAAGGTCACCATTTGGGCTGCAAGGTTCACCACCTGGAATGTCAGGGCACCATTTAGGGCGCAAGGTTCATCATCTGAGGCGTCAGGTAGATCGTCTGGACTGTCAGATCACCATCTGGGCTGTCAGATCACCATCTGGACTGTCAGATCACCATCTGGACTGTCAGATCACCGTCTGGACTGCCTAGTTCACCATCTGGACAATCGATTTCACTATCTAAAGCACCAGGTCCAGAACCTGGACTGCCAGGTCACCATCTCGACTGCCAGGTCACCATCTGGCCTGCTAGGTCACCATCTGGGCTGCCAGGTCACCATTTAGACTGTTACGATCACCATCTGAGACGCAAGTTTCACCACCCAGGTTCATGACAGGTCAAGAAGTCGTCAGCGGGACCTCGTGGCCCGTTACAAGGCTGAACAGAGTGAGAAAAACAAAACGCACAATAGGCTTATCAGACTCATTGTGTTCCTGTCGTCACACTGGTTTGCCAACTCCAATGTCAATGATTACCTCCCTGTTATTATCAAGGTAATGGAGCTGTAGAGTCCATTATACTTACCCTAAATAACAAGGGCACAGGGGGTAGGGGTGGAGGTGGCTGGGGCTGCACCTGAGGACATTATTTCATTGATCAGTGTGGTGGCGGCAGCACGTGGTCTTCACACCTGGCCCCAAGAACACTCAACTTAGGTTTCAGACGTCAATTCATTCTCTTCACTACGAGGCCTGGGTTGTCTGCATTACAACTCCTAATATTGACGTTGCAGCATTAAAATAAGCATACAGTGATAACTCTTGGTAAGGGAAAGTAAACGAGTACACTCTAGTTAGGGCGAGTCGGCATAACTGTAGCGAGAGTTTGGCTAACTAAGGTTCATTAAATAGTGATGCTCATTGGGGACTAAAGGCCATAGCACAACAGCTTGCGTACTCCCACGTGTTGAATCATTGACTAACAAAAACCGTTAAGCGGTGTACAGGACGACATCTGTCCAATAATCGGCGGGATCAATTATTTAATATCTGGCCAGCTGCTACTTAGCGCGCGCAAACGTAACGCCGCGGTCGTCCTCCGTCAGCTGTTCCGGGTGTGACGACCATCCACGACTTTCATTAGAAGTCACATTTCATGATAATAGGGATTAATTGAAGTTAATTTTGCGTTCGTCCGTATCATCTGTAAACCTTAATTCTGAATAAACCAAATATAACTGTCTTTTAATATTGTAAAGTAATTAATGTTTATTAATGAAAGGTGAGGTCCAGTAATGAAGGGTAGACAAACAGGCCCATGTACAGGAGACGGTTAACGCGGCAGCCGTGGAACATCCGGCTGTGTGTGGGTGCCGCCACTCACACGTGCAGGGAGGCTGTTGCTGCAGCTGTCCGTGTGTCTGTCTGTCGCCTAACACCCGTCGTCCCAGCTGTCCACTGTCTATGCGTCCGTCTATCGCCTAACACCGGGCGGGCCAGCTGCGCGGGTAGTGGGCCACACGTGTGTAAACGTTACCAGTGGTAAATTAGTCAGTGCCCAGCTGGCGGTCAGGTAGAAGCTTTAACGCGCCGCCTTTACCTTAGTGTTGTCCTCGCTCCCAACGTAGCTGTACCATGTGTGTGGGCATCCATCTGTGTCGTGCTGTGTCGGTCTTCATTTGTGTCAATGTTAATTATGTGCGCAGGTTTACTGGCTGTGAGAAGCGTTGCCACGATGGTCTGGCGCCCCACCACAACAAACACTGCCCACCCAGGTCCTCTCTCACTCCCTTCTTCATTAGTTTCATCTTTTACGCTCACTGTGGTGAATTAAAATATAGGTTTCTCGCCACTGTGAACCTAATCTGACGTAAAATATGTTATCAGTATGTGGAGACAACGTGAAGAGCAGCGAAGTGGTGAAGTTGGCAACAGTGGAGGAGAGAAAGCTAAGTTTGGTCAGAGGCGTAACCCACCCAAGAACCCGGTGTAGCGACCACCGTCTTCCCTACCTATTATTACTCCATCTGTTGTTTTGTACGCTCTTTATACCTCTACAAACATGGCGTATGTTCTTGTATACCCTATGTTTGTGTGGTTGATGTATGTTAGTGTTGTGTTGGGGAGTATGAAGCATGTGGCGTGGGAAGGATTATATATGAGTGTGTGGTGGCACGTGGTAGTGCTGCCAGCCCTTGTGGTTCCCGGGTTGAGGTATGTGGGTGTGGAGCGTCAAGGTGGTGCTCCAGACCTACCTCCTCCTCCTCCTCCCTCCCCCTACACCCGCCTCATGTGTCACGCGGGCTGTCCACTAACCCCACCCAACATCTAACTGTTCCTCCAACCTCTGACCTAACTTAACCAACCCCACCCAACAAACATCTCACTGTGTTCTGACCCTCAAGACCTAAGCTAACCTCATACAGCATCTCACCCTTCAAACTGACCTAAGTTCGTCACCTTTAACATCATCCCTACGGTCTCGGCTGCATAACTAACCTCTTGACTCTTCATTACCACCCACTACCATTACCAACCTCAACCATCACCCTAATGACAAGGGAAAACAACCAGTCCTCTTAACTTCCGGTTTTACTTAACACGTGTCTCTCCTTCTCCTACACCCCTCACCACTCTTCATTACCTGTTGGGTCGTGGGGGTCGGAGAAGGGGAGGGGAGGGAGGGATGAGGTGAGGACCATCTGAACTCTCACCTCCCGCCAACGCGCTCTCTTGTCACCCCTCTACTTCCTGTAAACAAACGATCATAGAAAACGGTGCTTCAAACCCACAGTGTAAAAGACGTCTTAAACATTTTACGAAGGAATGCCATAAGGAGTCTAGGTTAATAGTACCTACCCCAACACTTTATAGACCAAGAAGGAAACATAACTTTATAATCATCCAGAGACAACCTCAGCTCTCGGCCGTATACTGTAAACTTTATACTGTACCATTATACCAAGTCAGTGCTGCGCTACGCTGTCATCTGCATAATAATATCATGTACAATTATCACGACCATGCTACAACTGCCACCAACATAACTTTAGTCGAGTGCAATTGCCTGTCATGTTAACTCAAGACTGGCAAGCCAACTACACCATCTAGGATACTGGGACACAGGAGAGAGAGAGGTGTCTATTCTCCCCAAGGTGTAGAGCTTTATGTGTGCGTGAGATACATAGTTCAGTGCCATGAGTTGGAAAGAAGCTTTAGTAGTAGTCTTACGTTAGATTTACCTGCAACTCATTTTTCTCCTTACATTAAGTTTATAATGATTGGTATAGTGTGGGTACAGCATGAACTGTTGTATATATATATAACATTATGTTTTTTGTACATATTATGACTGACTGTAAATTAAGATATAATATTCTTACGTGAAATAAACTATTTTTTCAATCTACACGTTATTCTTAGCCTAATTGTGGTGATGGTTTTTACAAGGTGATGATGTTTGATTCATTCTTTAACACACATTGTGGAGATAACATTTGTATGACTAAAAATGCAATTGTTTAAAAACTCGTATACCGGTGCTAATGGAAACTAAAATTCATATATACGACCAGAACCAAAGAAGCAAGCAATTTTATGTTTCCTCCCGAAATATAACATCTAAATATCTTCTAATAAAAGTATAATAAATAAATATTCTACTATATGGTATAAACTTTACAAAGAAAACAGTTTAACCCGAGACAGTGAAAAGGTGAATACAAACTAATTTATCTTCACCCAGCATAATAGACGTCACAGTCAGCATAACAGATGTCACAGTCAGCATAACAGATGTCACAGTCAGCATAAGACTCGGTAAACAAAAGCACCAGTCAACCTCACTACCATAACAAGAACACACCTCCCAAACATAACAAGAACACACCTCCCTAACATAACAAGAACACACCTCCCTAACATAACAAGAACACACCTCCCTAACATAACAAGAACACACCTCACTAACATAACAAGAACACACCTCCCTAACATAACAAGAACACACCTCCCTAACATAACAAGAACACACCTCCCTAACATAACAAGAACACACCTCCCTAACATAACAAGAACACACCTCCCTAACATAACAAGAACACACCTCACTAACATAACAAGAACACACCTCACTAACATAACAAGAACACACCTCCCTAACATAACAAGAACACACTTCTCTAACATAACAAGAACACACCTCCCTAACATAACAAGAACACACCTCCCTAACATAACAAGAACACACCTCCCTAACATAACAAGAACACCAATAACATAACAAGAACACCTAACATAACAAGAACACACCTCCCTAACATAACAAGAACACACCTCACTAACATAACAAGAACACACCTCACTAACATAACAAGAACACACCTCCCTAACATAACAAGAACACACTTCTCTAACATAACAAGAACACACCTCCCTAACATAACAAGAACACACCTCCCTAACATAACAAGAACACACCTCCCTAACATAACAAGAACACCAATAACATAACAAGAACACACCTCACTAACGTAACAAAGTCACCAATTGACACTGGCAGCCTTGTTCATCTTTTGTAATGTTATGCGTATTGAAGTGAGTAACACGTACCACCTCCATCTTGTAGGAGGTGTGGGAGCGAGAACATGTCAGCGCCAGTATTCACAGCTGTTGGTGACTAAGTACTTAAAAAGTCTTAAAACATAATTTAAGCTAAATATATTCATCAGAGAATTGTACAATATTGTGAAGTTAAAAACCCAGATGTTAGTGTTTACAGCAGGTGGTGGTTCCTTGGCTCATGTTCTTATACCTGATTTAAAAATGACTAGATGACATTTTTCTTTAGATAATTACAATAAAAAAAATAAGGCAACGATTAGAATAAAATACAAAGAAAATTTTTAAATTGGTCCTTAATAACAAATTAACTTACTGTAAATACATTTTCTTGTACTAATTAAGGTAACGCAAGGGCCCATAACGACTGACCAACTCGCAGCATTAACTCTAAAACCTGAATTCTTTATTACAGTAAAAGTTAGCCAGTGTCTGATGCCCATATAGGCGTGTAACCTGACCCATCCTCTGACCACCCATCACCAGGAGACGGGAGGATGATGATGATGGTGGTGGTGTTGATGTGAGGTCCAGTGTCGACCCACATAAGGTGTGTTGGGATGGTGGGTGGCCGTCTGGAGGAGGAGTGTTCCTTCTTCAGCTCTGTACATGTGTGTATACAGTTCTAAATTAACCATATTCAGACATCTACCTCAAGTCATGCAGCAACTCTCTAAACAGCTGGGTCGTAAGCCATTCAATTGTACGTTTACCATTACCATTTTAGGTGATGGAGTTAAACTTAAGAAAGTATCACTCAAACTCGGGTATTCTGCCAACGTCACACTAATGTTCTACCAGTGTGAAGGAAAAATAGCTGTGAATGGTTCGCGTTTACTATAGCCGGGTCCTGATTAACCATAAGACTAATAAGGCTGTAGTCTTAGGCCCTCATGATATTTAGGCCCTCGAGTTTAGGCCTAAATTTGTGTTTCTCAAAATTATGTGTGTCAAAACTTCACAAATTGGATGAATGAATAATCCAGTTTGTTTGAAGATTTAATGACTTATTTACAATAAATACATAATATACGATGGTACATATACAGTATAGGTCCTTCCCTCGTATCAGCCTTAGGCCCCTCACAATCTTAATCCGGCCAAGACCAGCGTCGCCACACGCTTGATAAACTTAATCGAAGAATCAACAGCACTCTTTACAATGAACACAGATGCAACTGTTCCTCTCATCTGTATCCCTTTCTCCTAAACTAACCGGTAAGATATTGTTTTCCCAAATACCATCCCACACAAAATTTACCCTGGCCAGAGACACGTTAGTTGAATTAATAATTTCATGGCGGATTCTCGACCCGTCTTGGAAGCGTCGGGAGAGAAGCGGTTGACAACAGTTCCTCCACCCATTCAGGATCTTAACCTAGGTGTTTGCTCTGGCCTGACAATCACGACGCCCAAATATGGTGAGAGATTGGCCAATAACTTCTTGACGGATTCTCAACACACGAGTCCTAAAGGTGACGAGGGAGAAAGAGGTGCTTGACAACAGCTGCTCCGTCAAGAATCTTCATGGAGGTGTTTGCTCTGGTCTGGCAGCCACGACACCCAAACATGGCAAGACCTCGGTCCCTTTTGTCGCGTCGTCAGAGTTTACCGCCGTCAGCCACCGAGTTGGACGTCGGTGCTTTTAGGTCCCTCTCATGGTTCACCAGACGATGTACACACCTAGGCACAATCACTCTTCAAGAAAGCTTAACTGTATGACTCTCCCGCTAAGATAACTGTATAACTTGAAGCACTCTGAGATAACTCTTCAGGCAGGTTAAATACGGGAGAGCCACTTTTCAGGCTAAGACCTAAGGCTGTACTTCCGCTATCCAGGCCACTTAAAAGACTCACTTTACTTGTCTTTTTTTGTCTCGTTTCAGAGGATATATTTCGCGCACTTCCTTATTCACTATGTCCTGCAGACCACAACACCCAGTAGGTCAAGTGATGTTTTGATGAGGAGGAAGAAACAAGAGCCCAGCACGTCGAGGTACCATGAACGTCCTGGCTGTGGGTCTTCGTCATCACATTACAACATTAAAAGATAAATAAGACAGTTTCTAGTCTTAAGGTGGTGGAATGAGTCTCTTGTGGTCAAATTAATATAGGAGCATCCCCATGTGACTCTTCTTGTAAATAACAAATAAAAAAAGTTAGAAAAGTCAAAATTTATGTTCCAATATGGATATTTAAGTTCAAAAATTATATATATCTGGTAAAAACTGAAACTAAAGTTGAACTGATGTAAAAATATTAATTCCGGGTCAAGTAAAACATGTTTCTTATTGTTTAAAGCTAAGGTAAAACTTTTAATTAGACAGTGCTGCCAGATGTACAGTAGATGATGCCTTGAGAACGACATAACTTAATATAATAAAAGGAGGATGGAACACACAAGAGGGAGCACTATCAGTCAGGTCAGGAAAGGCGGATATTGAGCAAATTCAATGAAGCCAACAAATGACCCCGAACGAACATCTGAGGTGTAGTAGTAGACGTAGACGTGAAAATATTGTGAAACACGAACACCCAACGACCATTTCTCAAACGTTTTAGAGGTGTTTTAAGGAAGGAGAACTGTGATAGGTCAGAAACTACACGTGGGGCGGCTGGCCAAAACGATCGTAAATCTGGTTGGCGGCCTGAACAAGCGCCCCCCCCCCCCTCCCCTCTGCCTCTGGACAAAGACCCTCAAAGACCCTCAAAGACCCTCAGTTAAAATGGATAATAGCTTACATTACATTACGTTACATTAGGTTAGGTTAGGTTAGATTAGATTGTCATATCGTTTTCATGTCAAATAAAAATCATTACTACTAAGAAAAAAATTATTGCACTGGAAATTACAAGCAAATACTAATAGACACACAGGTAGGGGTCAACAAAGAACAAATAAAAACACTACAAATTCAAGACACACTTCCTAGGATAAAACAAACTATGACGTCACAAACCCATCGACACAACGTATTTAACACAAGTCTCATTTGAGTTCATTGCACAACTACCACACACGATTACGACCCAACCCAACAATTACTAACTAAACCCCGCGATTTATAACCAAACCCCGCGATTACTAACTAAACCTCGCGATTTATAACCAAACCCCGCGATTACTAACCAAACCCCGCGATTACTAACCAAACCTCGCGATTACTAACCAAACTCCGCGATTTATAACCAAACTCCGCGATTTATAACCAAACCCCGCGATTACTAACCAAACCTCGCGATTACTAACCAAACCTCGCGATTACTGACGAAAACATTAAAAATTTCACAACACAGCAATTCTGTCATAATCATAATAGTGTCACGTACACATCTATTGCCTATGTTACTATTAAATACAGTCCCAGTTTAATGCATTGATACTAGTAACAGTTTATTATATAAGGTGGGGTATAGCGTTACTAGAGAAGGTTCCTAGAGCTGCACCGTGACCACTTACACAGAAGAGGAAATAAATCACGCGTTGTTTAATGACTCAAGTTTGGATGACATGTTATGCATTACGACATCTGACCAACATTATATTAGTGAGACTTTATACTAAAAAATGACGAAATAAATTAAATATGCCATTTTTTTGCCCGTTCATCAGGTGTCTGTATTATGACACCTCATGTGTTCACCTTAAAGTTTCAACAATAATTTACCGAAGCTTTTCATTATTTTCAACGTGATAAAAATTTTCTCCTTTCATGTATTCAGTAAATCAAATTTATGGACCATAAAGGTCAAATAAAGTAATTAGTTACATTAAATCAACAACACG